CAAGTCATGGCCCACGAACGGACTCTCTGGCTCCTGATCAGGCTCCTTAACGGCCATAATCCCAGAGACTCAGAAACAAATCTCAAAACCCAGAGGCTTTTGGCAGAAATGCATCTGGACCCCACAGTACGTTACTGTCGCCAGGCCACCCCAGGGAGGAAAGGGTGTTGTCATTCTGCCTGCTCCGTCTTGGCGGGTTGGTGGCCGTCATCCTCCAGAGTCCATTGGACAGTCACGCTTGGGCCCGCAGTGACATAACTTGCTGGGCCTATGGGATGGGGGGGGGGGGGGGGGACCCAGGCCTGTCCTTCCGACCCCAATGAGACCCCAAGTCATCGCCCATGAACGACCTCTCTGGCTCCTGATCAAGCTGCTCAACGGCCATGATTCCAGAAACTCAGGAGCAAATCTCGAAACCCAGTGGCTTTTGGCAGAAAGCCCTCCAGATTTAAGTGTTAAAATTTCAGAATTTCAAAATCAGATGGCCCTACTGCAGCCATGCGACATCATATGTTATTCATAACCAGCAATAGAACACAAATTGTCTACTGTTGCCTTTTCAGCAGATCTGAGTGTTGGGGTAAAATCTCAAATAATAATGGTGGGTCTGGTGACGAAATATTGAATGTGATCAAAGTAGAGAGAGAGTAATGTGGAAATCATCTGCCCCACAGGTAGGGGGAGGATGTGGGATAGGGGTATACTGGGGTTTTTGGTGGTGGAGAATGGGCACTGGTGAAAGTACGGGTGTTTCATTGCATGACCAAGACTTAGACCCGAAAGCTTTGTAACTGCTCTCACGGTGATTCAATAAATAAAATTGTAAAAAATGAGGAAGAGAGAAAGAGAGCAGGAAGAAGAGAGCGGAGGAAGAGAGCGGTTTGAAACGCCTTCAAGAGCATCGAAGAAATAGCTAAGAGGATGAAGAACCTCCGGCTCCGGGCACATCTCTTTGATTCCACTGTTCTTCCTGCATTAACATACGCCTCAGAGACCTGGGCCCTACGCAAACAGGATGAGAACGCTATTCAGGTCTCCCAAAGAAGAATAGAAAGAGCTATGCTTGGAATATCACGTTTCACTCAAATGAGAGAAAGACTCTGGAGTTCCAACATCTGTCAATGATCAAGAATCAGGGACGCTGTCTCGTTTGCCAAGGTGTCAAAAATCAGATGGGCTGGTCACGTAATAAGAATTAAAGACGACCGCTGGACTAGAGCTGTTACCGACTGGATTCCACGGGATGTCAAAAGATCTTGTGGCTGCCTACCTACCAGATGGTCAGACTTCTTCATCAAGATCATGAACAATCGGTTTGAGGCTCTTCATGTTCCTAGAGTGAACAGACGCCATTGGGCTACACTAGCACGCGACAGGGACAAATGGAGACGTTACTGGCGCCTGCTCGAGCAAATCGATGATTAATGGGAAGTCAAGTGATCAAGTGATCAAGTAAAAAATGAGAAAAAAAAAGTAAGGTGGAGTTCATGCCCAATTCAATCAGCTAATCAGTGGCTGAATAAATAGCAGTACTCCTACAAAAAAAAAAAACCTCCCAATTGTATACAAATGCTGTCTCCTCCAGATGATATGAGATAGTTCAGTGAACTACATTGTCAGGACACTACACAATATTCATCTTCTTTATGAGAATTTATTCAATTTTCTTCATACAGAGCATAGAAACTTGCAGGAGTACTACAAAAAGCTAAAATTTCTCCATGCCAACCTGCATATTTTGTGCATGTTATTAATAATAAAAGCAACTTCCAATCAGCTATACTAGAAGAAAGATTGAATTATGTTTTTATCCTCTCAAGAGGTAATGATAGTATAAAAGTGACATCATATAGAAAAGCAATGAGTATCAACCACCAAAAAGGAGAAAGAAAATTAACATTTATAGAATTGATAAATTATAATATTATCTTTTGACTTCTGCAGTTTTGTGGTATTTTGTTCAACTCTTAAGATTCACAAGTGTTGGTGATTTCTAGTTCTAAATATTCATTTTCATGCTATGGCTTGTGTTTGGGACTTTGAATTCTTCTTTTCATGAAAGAAAGCATTTTCATTTGAATGTTTCCTCATTTTTATTAACCCTGCTCTCCTCTTCAGTCATTTTAATTACTGTTAATATCCAAAACAATTACTAATATAGTATATTCTTCAACAGAGACATAGAAGATTGAATAGTCTTCTAAACTGACTTAGTCTCTGTCATGACAGGTTTCCGATGCATCTACAAATCCTATTCTTAGGAAACAGCATTTTTCTCTATTTCCCTTGCTATGTCCCTGCAGACTGGTAAAATCAATGATCTGTAATTGCTTGAAGAATTTTGGCTTCCTCCATTAATTAGGCAAATTTGAAAACAGCTTCCTGAGCTCATGCTCATATTGTTCTGGATTTCCTCATTTTGTGCTTGCAGAAGCATGAAAAGTTCAAGGCATTTTCTGTGCAAGAAAATGATGGTGACAAGCAACTTGTGACTTCACTCACGCAATAAAAAAATACATTAGTGCTGAATAAAAAGTCATAGAGATTCTCAGTCATAGAGATTCCAACTAGGGGGCTGGAGTGATAGGCCAGTGGGGAAGGCAAGGCACTTGCCTTGCACATGGCCAACCCAAGTTTGATACCCGGCATCCCAGATGGTTCCCCCAAGCACCTCCAGGATTAATTCCTGAGTACAGAGACAGGAGTAACCACTGAACATCTCAGGGTGTGGCCCCCAAACAAAAAAAAAAGGCAAAGTAGACATCCTAATTAGTGATGTTTGGTTCTTTTAAAATGCTACTCAGTTTACCATTGAGTAACCTAAGAATTAGGTTACCATGAGTTACCTAAGCTTTTCCAGTTTTAATCAAAAAATAGTTTTTGGTGGGGGTGGTAATTTACAAAAACTAAACCCACTTAAATATAAGGGATTTACTTAAAGGGCTTATCCAATTTAGTGACTTCAAATAGTTCTATTTTTCAAAATTTCGTTTTTCTGGAGGAGGGTTAGGGGTGGGGGAAGAGACTCAAACAGTGCTTGATCCAGGAATCCCACCAGTAATTCACCGCCTACCTGGTAAGCAATTCAATGCAAGGGTCAGAGGATGCAGTGCTATTCATGCCCTATCACGTAAAAATACCAGGGCCAACCAAGAAGTGCAGGGATTTAAATATAAGGGATTTACTTAAAGGCCCTCCTGGGCCACATTCACTGGTGCTCAGAGGACCATATGGAACTGGAAATCAAACCCAAGAAGAGTGCCTTACACATTGTACTAACTCCCAGCCTCTCAAAATTCCTTTTTAAGCTACCTATTTCTATTCATGTTTTAAAGCAAATCACAGTAAAATTTCTGAAGAGTTAACGATAGAGGTTATATATTTGAACAACTAAACTTGACATAAAGAAACTGAGGAGGGCTGGAGAAATATTATAGTGGGTGAGCCACTTACTCTGCATGTGCTGACCTGGGTTCCATCCTCAGCACCCTATATGGTCCACTGAGCCCTGCCAGGAGTGATTCCTAACTGCAGAGTTAGAAGAAAGCCCTTAGCAGTTTGCACCCCCCCTCAAAAAAAGGAAAGAAAATAGGGAGTAAAACAATAGTATAAATTCTTTAAATGTTCTTTCAGTTAAGTTATAGTAATTCAAAGTCATTAAAATTCTAAAATATTTCAAAAATGGAAATATTATTTACTTAGTTATAGTAAAAAATATTTGGAGAAAAGTATTTTATGATAGTATAAAGGTCATATTAATGAACTGAATTAAATTATGTTCAATTATTATTTACTTTTAGATGTAAACTTTTTCCCTGACTGCAAAGAGATCACTAATTTTTCAGTCCACCAAAAATCACATCTTAACAATATTTAATTTTAACAGCCATGATAAAAAAGTTTTTAAAAATTTTGAGAAAATGAATAAAAACCAATTCTAGTCTACTTTGGAAACTCTAACACCAGAGAATAATTTTTATGTTAAACACAAAAGATTTCATGGATAAAACTATAAGAAGAGATCAAAAAACCAAATAGAAAGAAAAACTAAATCATTTCATAGATCACATGATGAATAACTACATAATTTATAATGAAATCATCTCTGAAGTAAGTGCAGTGACAGAGTTGCCCGCAGTCAGGCAGAGGGCAGAGAGGTCAGCAGCCTGCCTTGGAGACATTGTCAATGCAAAAAAGTACCTAAATTAAAAATAAATATATATATATATATTGCTTTTTGGGTCACACCTGGCAATGCACAGGGGTTACTTCTGGCTCTGCACTCAGGAATTACTCCTGGAAGTGCTCAGGGGACCATATGGGATGCTGGAATTCAAACCCGGGTTGGCTGCATGCAAGGCAAATGCCCTACCCGCTGTGCTATCATTCCAGTCCCCTAAATTCAAAAATATAAATGCTCATGCTCATTGTGTTTTATAGGATTTCAAATGTGCTTATTTATTTTATTTTTAAAAATAAAATTAATAAAGTCTTTAGACTTTTTTAAACTTTCAATGTCTCTCAAAAACTTGCCATCCCCAAGGTGCCATATCATACCTGAACTAATAGAAGACAGGTCAGTTGCCTTGGTATACTGTACACCCAGGGAAAATTAAAACACAGAAAAAAATTTCAAAACCTCACAAATTCTCCTTTAAGTCTAATGCCTATTCCTCTCCTATCTCCCATTCTTGATCTAGATCTCCACATGGATGGATTCTTTTGCTCACAAGGGAAATGTGGTCCTACAGACTGATGGCTGTTCAGTGGGAGCCAGAGGGAGATGCCAGGAGAGAGACGGCAGGGAAGCAGTAAACTCCCGGTACTCACATCCCTGCAGTCTTCTTCCAAACAGGCTACTGTACCTCAGGGTCACCAGTAGAAAACAGGTTGTGGCTTCTCAGGTCAGGGGCAGATCACCCACCCCATTGCTCTCACCAAGGGACAGCAGATCAAAGGAAAGTGAAGGATGGGTCATTCATCAACTGAGAGACACTCACATATGTTGAAATCTTCCCAATTTCTCTCCACTGGAACCGTATAGTTGCAATTCTGCTATCATTTTTCACTTTGTAGACTATGACACTCTCGGCACAGATCCCCAAGGCCATCTTCACCCCTTCAGGCCTCGCCTTGTCTGGGAGAACTCGGTGAATCAGCACTCCATATTCCGGAAGCTGCTGAGTGACCTAGATGGAAAACCAATTAGAAGCCCAACTAGAGAAGACAGGCACACCAAGATAAAAGGTTTCAAACAATTCCATAGAAAATCATCTTCAAATTTTTTTTTAAAAAAAATAGGATCTCCTAATAAGTTATAGAAACTCTGATTTAAACAAATCTTGCTACAGAATTTCTCCACATCTCTGATATGATAACACTTTTATATTTTATCAACTGAAGGAATCTTTTCTTTTCCCCATGGAGTACCTAAAATAAAACCAATACATGGAACATAGCTATTCTGAAAATAGTACAGTAAAGTGATAATCTTACAAACACGGTTTAAGGATTTAGAGTCTTCCAGACCATCAGAAGGTAAGAAATTCCTTTTATTATGCTCATCAAGGTCTACTGCAGTTTTAGCAGCCCCTACCCTTTTATTTTACAGATGGAAAAACTGAGACCCAGTCAGAGAAACCTATCTTCCATATAATAATCACAAATTGGCCCTTACTGATTTATTTTCTGATCATTCTATTTGCATTCCTTAAAGTTTTGTTGGAATAAGTAATATAACTAAATTTGTTGTGTGCCTAAAGGGACAGGTTGGGATTGGTAAGGAAACTGGAAATATTGGTGGAGGGAAGGTCACACTGACAGTGATGGAACACTAAATGCTTGAAACAACTGTATAATGAACAACTTTTCAAATCACAGTGTTTTTAATAAAAAATAATTCAGAAAACATTTTTCATAGCCCCATGGGTTAAGGGAACAAGCTCTTAAAGTTTAATGATTCCATAATGGCTATACCAGCTGCAAATTAATTATCTATCTGCCTTTACAAATAATATTTATAAAGTAATTGTAACTATCTAAAAGGCATAGGTTATAATATTAAGTGGAAAGAAATACAGGATGTTACCAGTATGATTTCAACAGCAAAATTTTTAAAGACAAGAAAGATTTTAGCAGAAAATAGCAATCTTTAGTTATGTAGGAAAATGTTTAATAGCCTAGAAAGTTTGAAAAACATCGAGTTAATTATAAACAGGATGTTATGGGACTGATATGTTAATATAGTTGTGAATCTTTCAGACAAGGTATTCTATTCAGTGTTACCCAATCTGGAATTCTGCCAAGATTCCTAGCATGAGATGATGAACTAGCAGAATTAGTTATCAGTGAATTGGAGGCCAACAGGCGCCATCTGATCATGAAAAAGCAGAACTACAGGGAGCTGTAATTAAATCATCCAATGTCTGTTCATAGGGGAAAGGGCTCTAAGATGTATTCTGAGGAGTCAGGGTTCCTCTGAACACTTACATCCTGCAGAGCAGTCAAGAAAGACACAGAAAGTCTTCGCACTACATATCAATAGTATGTAAAATGCTTATAACCTTTGGTTCTACAGTTCCACCTATAAAAGTCTATCTCTAAGGAATGAAATAGAAATGCAGCTAAATGTTGATCTTAGTATTCTTTATAATAATCTCATATTTAAAAACAAGGGGATATTAAGGGGGGAAAAAACAGGGCACACCATGTGTTGCCTTAAAAGCGTCAAGATTTTAGTGATATGTGATTATAAAAATGTACAAGACTGCATGTATAATATAAATCCAATTTTAAATATATATGCATGTACACATGGGAATGCATATAATAAAGAGTGAAGGATGAATACATCAAAATATAATTGAATTCTCTGCACAAGGCACAATCACAGGCACATATTTACTTTTACAAATGACAGGGAAATTATGTGATCTAAGAGACATTTGCTGTATGATCACAAGAGGCCCACCCAGGGGTCACCAAGTCCCTCTTGATCAAGACGGCACCAGGGACAACACATAAAAAAAAAACAGCAAAACCAGCAGCCAAGGGAAACCATCAAAGTCCAGTGTTCCTTGAAACTGATAAAAATCCTATGCAAATAAAATCAAATATATTCAGTATTTTTAGTAATTTTATCAAATATCAAAGAAAAAACTGTTTATATTTTTGCTACATAGATAGGAGCTTCCTTGGCCTTTCTCATCATCCAACCAGGGAAGGGAGAAGCAGAGTAAGCTCAGCCTCCTTGGCTCTCCTTGCCTGGGATTCTGTGCTTACTCTCCATCACAAACACATTGATGACTTGGAAGTCCCCACGTGTCCCTTGTCAAGGGAATGTTGTTTCCTCTTGACAGGGAACATTTTCCAAGCCTGGATTATGGAGTGTAATGAGTGCATTTCTCCCAGAGATTCTCATATAAAATTCTCACTTGTTCACATTGTGCTAAGTGTCTGAACAATTTTACTAAGTAATCATCACTACCTCCAAAAAAACTAGACCTCACCTGGAAAGCTCTGCTTTCAAAAGTCTGTCTCTACTAAAAGCAATAAAACACATACAGTTTCTATCCATGTTTGGAGACTCTTGTATAGAAAAATGTGTAAATCCTGGATCTTCCTTTTTAATCTTCTTCCCACCTTCAATGCTCCATGTAAACTTCCTGCCCTGTGTAATCTGGGGACCTCTTCCCATATACCCCATCTTCATCCATATGAGCAGAGCAGCCACTCCCTCCCATCTTGAGTAACTAGTACTATTATCGTGGCACAAATATGCAATGCTGCATACTTCTAGGCACCTGTCTGCCTCTCCATGAGACTTGAAACTCCCTAGAAGCAACAATCATCTCCTTCCTACCTCCATCTCCTCAGTACTTGGTCCAACACAGGTCTATGTCTTAACGTGAGCAAAGCCTATTGGAGGCTTACTGTGTGCCCAAAAGCATGGTCACGAATTTTTCTCCAAAAATAAGGGTCACACATCTTGCTCCAGGGGATAAAAGAGATGCTTTGTAGGATAAAGATACCGTGGAACAATGTTTACCTGTATGCATGAACCACATCATGTACTATCCAAAGGAAAGAACCTAGAGGACTCCATATTTGGGGTCTTACAATGTTGTGCAGTGGACTCATGCCGCATTTTGCACTTTAGTTCTTTCCCCATGTCATCTGAGAAATGCGGTCTTCCTGCTCCCAGAAAGTTGACTAGGAGTTTCATGGTAGAAGAAAGGCCCTACCATAACCACTTCAATCCACTAAACCACATTTAGGAACCATTTACAACGCCATCTGCTTCCAGCAGCTTCTTAGCCCCATGAGGTGATGCTGCTGGAGCTTTTAGTTCCTTGCTCAAATCTCAGATGAGTCTGAGCCACACATCTGGACGCCAGAGAAATCTCCCCTAGAGGGTCTGGACTGTGCTCCCTGAACATCAGCACCCATCTCCCAGGTATGGAGGCCTCACCCTCAAGAACTCCAGCTCAGCATCTTCTCCCCAGAGCACAGGACTGAGACGATGCATCTCTGACACTTGGACTTGCACCTGGTGTATGGGCATCCTCTCAATCAGACTGGCTGGGATGTAATCTTCAGCTCGAAAATAGGCTTTACTCTCTACCTGCTGGAAATAAGATGCAAAATATAAGGGCTGCATTTTTAGGGACTCAGATCACAACAGAAGTCTGCAGGCTAGATTAGGCTCCTCATCAGGGACACAGGGAAAAGATGCTCTTTTGAATTACCCATCCAGTATCACTTTTTGACTCCAATCACTTTTTGATTTCAATGGAGTCAAGCTGCATGATATAAGTAGTAGAGAGAAGGATAAGATACCTACTTTAGATCTCTTTTTGAATTCCAAATTCTCCTCAGACCACAAAGCACTTCTCATCCTCGTGGGCTGAGCAGAACTGGGATCTTAAGAAACTGACATTACTACTACCACATGAACAAAATGGATGGAATCATGGATGGAAATTATTTAACATGATCAAGTTCAAGCCACCCAGATTTTACCTGTAAGTGGCAAAAACTGGATGGTTCACCCAAAGTCTTCACATATTCCTTATTTCATGCCATTTCCCAAGAAATACAGAAAATCCCTGGTCCTAAAATTTTGTTTTCACAATTTAACATTTTTACCTGCATCTGCCCCTCATTCACTGTCTCCACTTACACAAGAGATCTTGACTAGAACACCAACTCTCTACAAGAAGACAATCAACAGATTGCTCCCTGAATGAGGGGGCATATGACACTACCACCCTACCCTGAATCTGAACTGTCATTAATTCTTACTCTTTAAGGAGGCCGAGGATAGACCCTTTATCACTAGCTACCTGGTGCTGTGTTCCCCATACAGACGCTGAAGCAGAAAGCTCTGCACGAGGCATCTCAGGGTCCTCCACTCGGAATGAAGAAAACAGGACTTGCAGAACAAGAAATTAACCTAGGGGGCTGGAGTGATAGTAAGTGGGTAGGGCATTTGCCTTGCATGTGGCCAACCTAGGTTCGATTTCCAGCATTCCATATGGTCCCTTAACCACTGCCAGGAGTAATTCCTGTGTGCAAAGCCAGGAATAACCCCTATGCATTGCTGGGTGTGACCCAATAAAGCAAGCAAGCAAGCAAGCAAGAAAGAAAGAAAGAAAGAAAGAAAGAAAGAAAGAAAGAAAGAAAGAAAGAAATTGACCTAGCCCTCATATTTCTTAATCACCCAGGTCTCAGGCATTCTGAGCAAGACATTTTCCCATAGGTGAGTGCAATGAACCTTGAGGAAGGCAGCTAAAAGGTAAGAGAATATGGCCATCTTGGGATAAGCAATTAAGCCTGATAGGGATTTGGAAGGAACAGCCAGATTCCCAAGTTTTCAACATGGCATGAGACTATTCCTATGTGGACAGAACTAAGAATTCTCCAGCACAAGCCTGGCCAAAATGGTACTGATTTCATGTCAGAAAAACAAAAGAAATATTTCAGCCATCTAGTGCATTAAAAAGTATCAAGAATGTCTGTTAAAATGGTCAAAGCCAGAACACCAATACCCCCAGTGCTGGAGAGGACATGAAGCAATAGGAACTCACAGTCATTGCTGACAGAAATGCAAAATAGATGCCAATTGACAATTTCTTACAAAATTAAACATACTACTACCATACTATCCAGCAATTGAGTTCCTTGGGATTTATCCAAATTAGCTGAAAATATATGTTCATATAAAAACCTGCACATCAACATGTATAGTGCCTTTACTTATAATTGCCCAAACTTAGGAGAAAAAGATGTCCTTCAATGGGTAAATAGATGTTTTTTAAAAAACTATGGTACACCAGATAGTCAATGGAATGTTATTTAGTATACTGGATAGAAATTAAATATCAAGCCATGGAAATATGGTGCAAGGCTTTCAGTGAGGGATAGTACAGTGGCTAGGGCATTTGCCTTGCACGCAGCCGATCCACCGAGTTCCCTGCCATTCCATATGGTCCCCTGAGGCACTGCCAGGAGTAATTCCTTAGTACAGAGCCAAAAGTAACCCCTGAGCAACACTGGGTATGACCCAGAAAAGAAAAAAGAAGTTAGAGCCAGAAAAGCATGTTTAAAAAAAAAAAAGGAAAGAAAAAGGCTATATGTTGGGGCTGGAGCGATAGCACAGCGGCTAGGCATTTGCCTTGCACACAGCCAATCTGGGTTCAATTCCCAGCATCCCATATGGTCCCCTGAGCACCGCCAGGAGTAAGTCCTGAGTGTATTAACCTGGAGTAACCCCTGTGTATCGCCGGGTGTGACCCAAAAAGCAAAAAAGTCAAAATGCCAAAAAAAAAATGTATCACTAGTATCACTATAGGTTCATGAATCATAAATAAGTGTATTTTCTGTTGGGGAATGTTGATAGCAAGGAAGACATGTATGAGTGAGGTGAAGGGGGTAGCAGGCTATCTCTCTGTACCATACAATCAACTCTACTGTGAACATAAAATGGCTTTAGAAAGATTGTGTTTATCAAACAGACTCTTATTATTAGGAATATGTACAAAAGAAAAAGTCAACACAAACTACAGAAGTCCCAGCACAAACATTTGTTCCTACATCATTTATTTTAAAAAAAAAAAAAAAAAACAAGATCAGAAGCAACTGCAATGATAACAGTAGTTACCACTTATTTGGCACTTTTAGGTGATTCTCAGCATCAAACAACCATGGCTAAGGACTAGCCATCCCAAATGGTCAATAGGAAGGTCACAGGAAGGCATATACCACTTAGGGAGAATGCAGGATGCATATCTAATGCAGTGATGTTTACAACGGTTTTAAAATCCCTGCATGTGATCAAAAGCTGGAAAAGAATGTGCCCAAAGGAAAGTTGTTAGGATGCAATGATGTAATTAAGCAGATTTATTTTTATGCCGAATTGTCTTTGTCTCCCTTTTAAAATGCAAATGTAATCATGTCACTTCCCTGCTTAGAATTCTTCAGTGGATCCCAATCTTTCACTACAATGGTTTCTAAATTATTTCTTTTTCCAGCACCAGAACCAGTTAGCAAACAAAATACAAGCCCCTTGGGAGGGCTCCCTGTGTTTCTTTCACATCTCACTGGCAGCGACCCCCACAGTTGATTAAGCTAGGGCTGCAGTGAGGTATCTTCCGTGTGCTGGATGGGCCAGCTTCCCCCTGCCCACTGAAAGACACAGACTGTGGGAGGGGCTCTCCTCTTGTCCCACCTCCCCCTGCAAATGGAAATCACAAAGTCTTTACAGCACTGACACAAGGCTTAGATGATGCCGAGCATGGATCAGGCCCTTCACAAATTACGACCGGGTGAGTGCATGCACAAATGAAGAGGCTTGTATCATCTGTTACCTTCATGTACTGAAGAAAGGGGAAAACCAGGGAGGTGAGAGAGTGTAAGGGAACGGCAGAGAGAACCTCAGAACCTCTGTGGTTCCCAGCACAGTGGGGAAGGTTAAAAGGCTGATCAGGAGCTGGAGAGGAGCTGGGGAGGAAGAGTGGAGAATGAGGTGGAGGCAGGAGCTGAGTGGACAGTAAAAGCTGGTAAGGTGTGCAGCGTTGCTAAAAGGGGGCACTGATCGATGAATACAGACTCCTGGAGCTTGTAGAGCAAATGGAAAATATGTGGGCCTGTATCCAGGTCTTACTCAGGACCTCTGGCTGCCATTAGTAGACCTACCTGGAATTTTCAAGTAAAATTAGGCCTAAGTTTGAATATTATGTGTCTGAATCACAGGCTGCAAAGGTAGTCTCTGTGTCTCTCTATACTAAAGCACTTCTAGTTCTGATGGAGGAGAAAGGGTTGCTTGCAAATAGCAGTTACAAGGTGCATTTTCACCATCCACCTTTCCAGCCCCTCTGCAATCTCAATAGTAAAATGCTGCTGTTGACAGTTTGCAGTTGAAACACCCAAGGATCTAAAAGATGTGATCAGGATCATGTAGCTACTCACCGAAAGAAGCAAAGTTTAGGTTTATTTTATGCGAGTCCAATCCCAGGTTAACTCCTCTGCACCATGGAGCTTGCTCCTAAGATCTAACAATTCTTCTGGGAGCCACCCTCCCCTCCCCAAACTATACGGAAAATTAAACTAGAAGCTGCAGGAAGGGGATTGACTAATTCACTGGAGTACCTCTGACTTAGTGCACTGTCCTAAGGTCTGGGCCCATCTCCTCCCAAGATGCCCAGATGCAGCAATGAAAACAAGAGGGAACTGGTCCTATGACTAAGGACCCCAGCAGTGGTAGATGTGGACACAGTGTAAGCAGTGACTGGGCCGTATAGATGTCAAGGGATGTGCCATGTGAAGAAGTTTAGGAAACAATTCTAGAAGACTGGTCCGCCCAGGCAGCTTTGCACGCAGCCAACATGGCTGGCCCGAGTTCAACTCCTCCGCCCCTCTCGGAGAGCCCGGCAAGCTACCGAGAGTATCTCGCCCGCACGGCAGAGCCTGGCAAGCTACCCATGACGTACTCAATATGCCAAACACAGTAACAGCAAGTCTCATGATGGAGACGTTACTGAGCCCACTCGAGCAAATCAATGAACAACGGGAGGACCGTGACTGTGACCAAAACCAAATACATCACATTCCTCAGTTCTGGGTGTTAGGGATTGAACATGTGAATTTGGGGAGACCACAATTTAACCTACAATACAAGGTAAAACCCAATGACTCAGCACTCAGAACTTTAGCCAAACTTGACAAACATGGCTCATCAGGCATGTCACATTCTTACCACTAAGTATACAGTGATGGTAGAAAGACATATTTGGCCACGTGTGACCATTTCCCTTCTTTCTGGAAATGGGAGTCTTCCTCCTCTCTCTTGTGAGTGTGAATGCTATAAGTGCAATTGTGTGTCTGTGTGACTTGAGTCAAACTTATCAGAACATGGCATCTCTCTGCACAGCGATTGGCTTAGAGTAAGCACATGATCCTACCAGAACTAACAAGAACCCCCAGGATTCTCATGGCATTTTCCACTTGAAGTTGCGTTGCCCCCTATGGGGTACAATAGAGAAATGACTGAAGATGAACCTGAGGAGAGCAGACCCTAGCGACTCAGGAAATCGAAATCCAGCTGACATTATTCGACGCCTTGCTCCCAGAAAACTCTCAGCAGTGGTTAGGTCTCCAGTGCAGGGGGCAGAGCCAATATCATCTCTGACATGACCAGATATTTACCCAACGGGCAGGAGGACATGGGCACTTCAGTTTTAAGAGCCAATGGATTGCATGTTTTGAAATTACATACTTCAAACTACTCAGTTTTATTTTCTGTCAGTTGCTATCATGAACACAATAAGTAATCACCTCTGCAAGACAAAGGGTGAAAGGAAGATGCAGAGAAGGGTATAGAGCATGGAGCGAGGGTTTCCTTATATTAAGACTCTAGAGACCAGTAGCACTGTAGCATGTTATTTTGAGTCTTAATTAAGTAAATAAATATAGTCTTAATTAAGTAAATAAATATATTAGTATCATCCATCCCTACTTTGATGCATCTGCAAATTAAATAACCAATAGCTTCTGCTAACTCCTAAGAACTCAGCAGTATCAGAGACAAACTAAATCAAGGAAAACTTACATGTTCTTCTCATGCAAAGAAAGATCTTGGCTAAAGAAATTAGAGTTTCCATTTTTGAGAAGCAATATGTCCCGCAGAGTTAGCACTGTTCTTGCAATTAGGCATATCTGAACTCAGATGTAAACTTTGGAATTTTTAGCCATTCTCTTAGAAAGTGTGAGTGATAGGATCTACTTTGCAATGTTGCTGTGAGAGTGAATTAACGCTTGAAAAAACATCTAGGTCATTGGCAGGTACATAATAATCTCTTAATAATGGTTGGCATTACTGAGGATTATGATGGTGATGACAGAAATTCAGTCAATGACTGTTATTAAGAGGAACAATGTATAAAATTGACTTGTTCATCATGGTAGCTTGGGGCTTAGCAAAGAGTATTCAATGAAAACTTGGGTGGATGAGTCTATGCAGTGATGGTTAGATAGGTGGATACATGCATGGGTGCATGCCTTGACAGTTTACCCCATTCTCAGAGGTTGATGATAACAACTGGTCTCAAAGTCACAGTCTCTGCACTAATAACAGTTCCTGCCCCCCCCCTCCATTGTCCTGTAACTAGTTTTCTAGAGACCTACACCCTATGATTCCTATTCTCCACCCCCTACCTCTGCAGGGTAACTGCCAAATTCAGCCTGCAAAGCGAGAACCGCCAGCCGCAGCAGCATCTCTTCTTCACAGTGCAGTTTGTCTTCTAGGATGTCTCTCCGCAGCTGCAGGTAAAACTGATGTCTGGTCTGACTCTGCCTGGGAATAAAATGCAGGAATGAAGTGCTGCTCAGAAGCAGGAGAAGCACTAAAACCAGAGGGTTTCTCTCACACTGAGAAGCTAGGAAAAGGAAGAAGCCGGGATAGAAGCCAGTACCCATGCTTCTTGCCAGCAGTTGAAGGTGCTTCTGTGAGAAGTTCAAGTGTGAAAACCGACATTCAATTAGATAGTGCTTCTAGAATGCCAAAGAATTAAGGACAGCAACGCAATTCCAGTGCCCATACATCTTCCTCTTTTCCACCTCATCTCTGGACTCAGGGAAAGTTGGTTCTAATCAGGAGAGAGCTTTGACCTTAAATGGAAGGATGTTTAAAACAAAAGGGCAGGTCTTCATTTAGACTGAAACACTGATTTCCCCTTTTCCTGCTATATTGGAATCCATTCAAGAGAGATTTAATAATAAGAGTTAATTACGTGTTCTTTACAGATTGCAAGCTGACTTCTCCATTGTTTCACACATCAACCTGTACATATATCAGTTCCTGAAGAATGAAAGGAAAGAGCTTGCAGCACTCACTGGAGCATCCCACAATCACGGACAAAGAACTTTATCCTCAGGAAGAGAGTGAAGGTATTCCAGGTCTTCTTGGGGGGCTGCTCATTCCAGTCCTCAGGGGCTATTTTGCACAATCTGGTCTCATTGTCCAGGAAGAAGAACTCTTTGTCTGAAACGGAAGTGGAGAGAGTGTGGAGATGAACTGGTGGAAAAGACACAATGGCCCTGAGCCCAGGCCAGAAGGCAAAAGTAAACACAGAGCCCCATGCACCTGCTACCACAGGATGTTTGCTGGGTTCATAAACTGCTGAGAACAGGAGACATAGAGGAAGGGAACCCAGAAAGGAAACCCAGTGGAGTTTCATCATCAAAGGCTACTTATATTAAAAAAGATAGTGCTTAATATCTGCATTCTAACTCCCATCTTATGAAGATTAAATGAAAAGCTGAGGAATGATCATTTGCTCTATTCCTGACCCAGGCCTGGTTCTCTGCATCAGATGACCCACCCTCAAATCTCCAAATCTCCATGGCCAGTTGTGTATTAAGTGGGGGAAGGGTTGTGTGACTGTCTGTGTCTCCCAGAATTAAATCTCTAACACCAATATGATGAGTTTGGGATAAGGTACCATTGAAGGTAATCAGATTTACCTTCGAGCCCCTGCTATTAGATTAGTGTATTAAGAGGAATAGTTCAACCCAAGGACAGTAGAGACAAGGGCTAGGAAGATTGCTCCATAATTGGAAACCTGCCTCCTGAGCTGGGGGAGAAGGCAGCTGGGATAGAAAAGGGTCACTAAGTCAATGATGATTGGTGGGATTGCTCGGGATGGGAGGTGTGTGCTGAAAGTAGAAAAAGGACGAAACCTGATGACCTCTCGTATCTGTATTGCAAACCATAGTGTTCAAAAGTAGAGAGAGAATAAGAGGGAAATTGTTGGCCATGGAGGCAGGGGTGAGGGGCAGAATGCTGGGGATATTGGTAGTGGAAAATGTGCACTTGTTGAGGGATGGGCGTTCCATCATTGTATGACTGAAACTCAAACATGAAAGCTTTATAACTGTATCTCATGGTGATTCAATTTTTTAAAAAAAGCAAATAAATAAATAAGAGAAACAGTTCACTCTCTGATAGGTGAGAAAACATCTGCCTGCAAACCAGGAGTAGGACCTTCACCAAGAATCTGATCATGCGCTAGGACCAAATCTCAGGCATCTCAGCTTCCAGACAGTGAGAAATAAATGTGATTGATGCCTCTCAGTCTATGGCATTTTGAGACAGGACTAAAGATTATGACAGGATTTAAGACATTCACTTTTGCCTTTTGACCTTAAAACAAACAAAAAACTTTTTAAAAAAAATAGTCTAACCAGCTTAATAATCCTACAGCCCAAGCCAAAATTTCAACTCCTACTGAGTTTGTCCTCTAGCACCTCTGGAGAGAGGCTGAAGGTCAAATCCTGCTCCACCCTGCCCACTATCCTAGCCCCTACAAGTAGGTTCCACACCTTTTTTCCATGCTCCATACTCTCAGCCCAGAGGCAGCCAATAACAGATGACCTGGACCCAGGGGTCATGCCAAGTTTTTAATTCATTGCTTTAAGAAGGATTACCAGCCCTTCCTTCTAAAGACTTGTGCAGTAAGAGGAAGCTCATAAGTAGTCCTGAATGGTGCCCAGTTCTCTGCTCCATGCCCTTAGCCCCTGATGCTGAATCTGACTCCCCACGCCAACTCTTTGGTACAATAGGGTCACTCCTCACCATTATAGTTTGACTGACAAACTCTCCCAAGTGGGCTTATGTCCAAACCCCAAGCCCCTAACAGGTTAATTTTGTGTGACTGCCCAGAAGGCTTCAGCTAAGCAGTTCCCAAATATCTGATAGGGACAGATCAGAGGTAGACACCTGATAGGCAAGAAATGGTATAGGATTGTCCTGGGAGGCAAGGTTGTTCTGGGAGAGCAAGCACACTTGTTTACAGGTTACTGGTCAAAACAAACAAAAAGAAAACACATTTTCCTAACAAGACTTTTATTCACACTATAAAAAAGATTTCACAATCTTCTATTGATCAAAATGCATAATGGTCATTCTTTTTATTTGGGGAAGAGATTTTTCAGTGATTTTCTAAAAATAATGGGGAGATAAGGACACCTCTTCTGCCCCATGGCACACTTGGATGACCCCACAACAAGCTCTTGATCTCTTAGAAATGGGAGAACAGAGGCACAAACACATAAGTCAGGCCTTAACCTGAAGGTCCTCTTAATCTCAGCTCTGCTTCCTTCTTATTAATGAATTTAACCAACCTCACAGTAGCTAAATGGCTTCTTCTTCTATAGCCAAGTGATATATGTGTTAGATGTAAGTCAAGTCTTTAATGGAAGTAAAGGGAGGGGAAAGTACGGAAAACCTTGCCTTCAGAATTTTAAGACTGGATTCTTTGTTGGTTATTTTGTCGTTTTTGTTTCTTTGCTCATTTGGGAATCACACCTGGCCGTGCTCAGGCTTACTCCTGGATCTGTGCTCAGGTATCATTCGTGGTAGACTTGAGAGACCATGTCGGGGTATCGGGGCTTGAACCCAGATTGACCACATGCAAGGTAGATGCCCTACATGTTGTACTATCACTCTGCCCAGTTAAGCAGGATTCTTAATTCCTGGGATGGGGTCTAATTTCTTGTTAATACTATATAATTGATGAATTACTTTATTTTAGTATTATAAGTCAGACACAACAAAATATTTAATATCTTAACCTTAGGTGAACAGTTTAGTGATGTTAAGGACATTCACATGTTTGTACCTCAGCATCTTTCATGTCAGAACTCATTTTATCTTGCAAAATTAAAACTCCGTTAAACACCAACTCTCATTCACAGCCCCATCGAATAACACTCTACTTTATGTCTCTGTGGTTTAAACAACTCTAGGTGTCTAACATATGTGGAATCAAACAGTACTGGTCTCTTGCCAAACTGGTTTATTTCAGTCAGCACAGTGTCTCAAGTTCATCCATATTGGAGCAATGTGTCAGGATTTTCTTTTTAAGCCTGAATAAAACTCCACTGTGTTTATAGGCCAATTTTGCTTTTGCTCTCACTCATTGAAGGACACTTGGGTTGTTCCCCTCCCACTTCAGGTTCTGTAAAAAAAAATTGCTATTATTGGTGCTGGAGCATTAGCATAGTGGGTAGGGCATTTGCCTTGCATGCAGCTGACCTGGGTTCGATTCCCAGCATCCCATATGGTCCCCCGAGCACCACCAGGAGTAATTCCTGAATGCAGAGCCAAGAGTAACTCCTGAGCAATACTGGGTGTGACCCAAAAAGAAAAAAAATATGCTATTATGAACACAGTCCAAGCTCTCAATTTTTCTGAACATATATGTGTGTGTGTGTATGTATGTATGTATGTATATTCCAAAGGTGGAATTTCTAGGTAATATGGCAAATCCGTGTTTATTTTCTTGAGGACTCCACGAGACTACACCATTTTCTACTTCCATCTCATGGAAACATTAACATTTGTGCTCATTTCTCTTTAATTTATTAATATAGACCAACAAGATCCAGCAAATCAGAGAAACCTGCCACATCCTGCATGCACTGTTCTATCACTACCTTCTGCAAGTGACAAGTGGGACCTGTGTCTCTTAAACACTCACCAAGCATACAACAACTAAGTGTGCAATGTGAGGGCTACAAGCAATGATTTGTTTTATTTTGTTTTTAGAAGAAATGTACTAAGATACCTGTTACCCGACCCCCCACCCACCCCCAGACTACTGTGGCTTCAGAGGAGACACTTACCTTTCATGTAGGCCAAGCCAAAGTAAGCAAGTTCCACAAGGTTGGCAAAGGCTGTGACGGCACTGAAGATGGATCCCACTGTTGACGTGCCATCACATTTCACCTCCAAACACTGCCCACTCAGCAGCACCACACAGATATCCTTGAGGGCCAAATATGACTTCCCTTTTTTGGTCTGCAAATATTAAAAGAATCCATTGCAACATAATGGTGAGACACGACTCAATACTGGGCTACTACTGTGCTAAGCACTTCCTATGCAATATCTCATTTATTTGACCAACAACCCTAGATGTTTAGCATATTTGTGATTCCTATTCATAAACTCTCACCAGGCATACAACATCTAAGTGTACAGAATAAGGACTCCCAGTCTCAAGCAGTGTTTTGTTTTATTTTGTTATTCAGTAGAAGAGAAATGGGACCCAGAGATGGTAAGAATTTGCCCATGGTTGCAGTGACTCAGTCTCAGACCTGTGCCTTCTGTCAGGCTCTATGGGATCAGGAGGATGTGAAAGCCTAACTACTAGTTCTCCCTTACATAGATCCCAGAAGCCTCCTGGGTTCTGCTTCCCAAGGACATTGTCCAGGGTCTTTCTCAAGAAACTATATACTCCTGAGAGTGTTGGTCAACTTGCAGGTCCCCACAGATCACAGCAGAATGAATGTACAAATCCAACAGGAGAATGGATAGAGTTAAGGGACTTATATAGAATGAAAATGGTCAGCAGAGACACATCCAAAGATGCATGTAGACTTTGCCTCCTGTCTCTTCCCTTGCTCAGATTATGGCAGATATGTCCCCCACTACAGTCCCACCTGAGCACAGTCACCTCCAGACAGCCACACAGAAAACTCCCTCACCCTCCATCACATGGACTTACTGTCATATGTCTCTGTACACAGACCAGCCTGCAGGGTTCCCCTCCTCCCCATGGCATTCCGGGCCCCACTCAGGAATCCCCATGGCTGCAACTGGGAGTGATCAAACCCACTTGTGCAGATCTGCAGACTCTAAGAGGGGAGTTCCTAGTCCCGAGTGGGACAGATCGGACACCCCAGAAGGGTTCCGTGTGTAGACACCACACTCTGCATGGCCCTTTTGAGATTCTTCACTATGGTCTCTCATTGTCTGTGTTTCCAGAAGGACAACAGCGAATGTACACAGATGCTCTGTGTTCACTGTCCTGCCCCCCCACTCTCGTTATAGGTCCTGGTTGCCAGTTCCTCTGCTTTCCAGTATCCACCCCTGCTATTATCCAGCAGCCCATTACTCAACGTCCTCCTTCCTCTGACCCTCTTCCACCTTCTACCCAGGGCTCACAGTCTGTCATTGCTCTCTTACTCTCAGAGCACTGGCTCATAACAGGTCCCAGTTAGACATTCACACTCCAAGCAGCAACTCTGAGCATCTCTCTTTCTATAAGGCCAGGCAAGGGCAAGCCTTGCATTCAACCCCTATCCAGGCAGGAATTGTGTGCCAGGCACCACAGTCAACCTGGGCTGAGCTGCAGAGTTCAGGGAAAGGAGATGGACTTGCAAGCCCAGAAAAGAACACAAAAAATACACACATGCTAAAAGATACATAAGTTAGGAAGATGACTGGGGTTTTGTTGACTTCAGAGGTCCGGGGTCTGTCACAGGGGTTGTCACCTATTGTTAAGCAGATGCTTAAACAATATCTGCTCATTGAAGGAGGTGACGAGATAGAGGTCATCTGGGAGATCAAGTAGAATTTACGCAGGAGTTTCAGACAGCTCCCCTTCCTGGGAAGAAGCACTATAAGGAATGATCCAGGAATAAGAGGGACTGATGGCTACAACTGGGAAGAAAATGAGCACAAACAACACAACTTATCTCTACCCAGCAGGGCCCTCCAGCCTGAGAGTCCAGTTATGAGTCTAGCCACCTAGTATTTTCACCAGCACACAGACTGGTCTGCCTGCACAGCCAGGGTCCCTTTCACCCTTCACCTCAGCCCAGTCAAACCTTACCACAATTGATCCAGGCAGGTGCAAAGTCACTGGGGCCTCTCTAGCCAGCAGGAGGAACTCAGGCCTGGAGAACTGGAGAAGACAAAGAGTCACTTACCATAGAGAAGTCATGTTTGATGGGGATGGCCCTTCAGTTTCCAGACTAGGCCTCCTCCATGGGTTCACTGTCTTACATACCCTCCCAGCACCCTTCTCCAGAGCCTAAGGAAATAGGTTTTGGTGAGATGGGGGCTCAACTAGTTGTACCCAACCAGCCTGTGCTCTACAAGCAGAAGTCAGCCAGGTGACTCGAATGGGTTTGGTGATCAAGTTAGACACCCACTTCCTTGTAGGTTTCAAAATTCAAGCATGATTTTGTCACCTTTTTGCATGTATCACATTTCTAAGGCAAATTATATAGTACAAATAACTACTAGATGCAAAAAGGTTGTTTGAAAACAAAAGTACCTCAGGTTTATAGCAGATAAAACACATTGCTACTTTCACATGATGAATCAATGACCAACATATTTGATGTTAGTATCACACAATGTGAGCCTAGCAGCACTTCAGTGCCCATTAATGTTTGGATTCGGTTATCATCCCCTGGACACATATTCTCAAACCCTTTTTCAGGAAGTTAAGAATCTTGCCCAAATCTAATACCAGCTAGTGATGGGATTTGGATGGGTCAACACTCTCTCAAAAGAATCCAGCGGGATTCCCATCTCAAGAGGCCACAATTCAGGGCAAGGGGTGACTTGTGTCCTGAGAAAATCAACAATGGAATCACCTTAGTGAGGGATTAGGGAGAAAAGTCAGAAAAGGTGAATGAGGTGTTCTGAAACTACCTTCATCCCAACACCCCACACTCATGACCACCTGAGAGTTGCTTTGGAGGCAGCAAGGATTGGGAGGGGATTATGAGAACCAGGGTCAGACAGGAAGAGGGATGTTCACTTGTCTCATCCTTTGCTCAGTAGCTTTAAGCAAACGTCTATGACAAATAGACAAAGGCCTAGTGAGCATCTGTTTTTATGTACTCAAAGGGTTCCGGATGCTCAGACAGAAGGCCTGGCAGAGGAGGCCTCCTCAGACAACAGCCTTCCCAGAAGGGGCTTGTCACAGTTCCCAGGGTGAGGGTGACAGTGGAGGGGGATGCTAACTCTTACTTAGTCACTGCAGAACTGTTTGCTTATTAAAATTAGAATTTCAGCAAAAGGCAGTATGTTGTGTTTAAAGAAGGGCTACTTTTTTTTCTGAACACCAGAAGTGGGTGGAAGGGTTGGTGCCAGATTGGTGATGGCAGAAGGTGCCTTCTGGTACCACCCCTCTCCCCAGATTTCCCTGTTACCATAGAGTTAGCAAGTTGACCCCCTCAGCAGAGACCTGTCTTCCTGTAAGGAGTTGGGAGTAACATAGGGACCAACATCTCTTCAGATAGTCAACCTAGACTTCACGATCCAGTCAGGCTGGCCCTGCTCTCAACTCTTACCTCCTAACATTAGCCAAACCCTAGGACCCTGTTTACTAACCAACGGGAGCATCTCTCATGGCTGAGGAGAAACCCAGACCTTTTCCCCTGTGTTGTGTTCATTCAGAAGACCTTTTGTTGTCTTTCTTGTTGTGAACCTGTTTTTATCTCCCATACCAAAGGCTGACAGCTTCCTGCACATGGAATCTTCCTCAACATTATAGCCCACCTAGGAGCTATTGAAGCATCATTAAACAGCCATTGGCCTGAATTCCCAGTTTTAAGCTACTTTTAGTCCAATTCCATAATTCACAACCCAGACATCGCAGTCCCAGAAGAAAACCTTAACCATTTCCAGTTACCCACCGCTCACATTCAAACCTCCCAAAAATTTTTTGCTCACCTTTTCCTTTCTTTGCAGAAAATCCCTATGAGAAGGACTTGCAGGCAGGGAGTTATCTGCAGCCCTGGAGAGAGCACATTCGGACTCTGAGCTGAACCGCCGCTCTTCCTGGCCTTCCTGGCTTTCCCCAAGGTCCTGGGGAACTTCAGCTGGAAGAGTACTGACCCCATTCAAGCAAGAGGAGGAGCAATTAGCAGGAGGAAAGGTTTCTGTCTGGTCAAAGTCCACCCCATCAGGTGCTCAACTGGGCAGAGAGGATCCCCCACTTTCTTTTCATTCCTTGTAGCCTTCGGAGGAAGTATACCACTTTCAAATGGGGTTGCTGAAGCTGCACAGTCTTGGGGGGATGTGAGGTTTGAGGTGCACGGTTTGTGTTTCCCCGATCCTAAGGCCCTACCTTTTCTCAAGTGGGGCTGAAGGCTATCATGTCCTTGTCTCCCCAAACCCTGAATACTTTGGAACAAGCATTAGACTCATTGGGGATTCTGGCTTTCTTCCTTGGGTTCTTATGTAAAGTTCAAAATGCTTGGACAATAAACATGCATTGCTTAAGGAGTCAGGAAGTTATAAGAAAATAAAATGCTAAATGGCAAGGGAAGTCCTCATGAAGGTCACCTCTGTAGCACCCAGTCAAGGCTTCACTATGCATTTAACATCAACTGTGACCATTTGATTTAACATCAAAAGTGATCATGTACTGTCACTTTTCTTCACAAAATAACACATAGGAAACTATCCACATTCCAATATGCCCAGATCTCAGGGTCGGGGAGATATGAGCCCTGTAGGTTTTGAGCAAATTTATTTGTTTTAGTTTGATTTTCTGGGCCACTCCCAGTGTTGCTCAGGGGCTATTCCCAGTTCACTGCTGGCGGGAATTACTCCCAGTAGTGCTCATTTGGCATGAAAAACATGTGCACTAGCCCTTTGGTCTAACTCCCTGGACTTAATTTGGGTTTTATTTGTTCATTTTTATAACTCGCTGTGATATACAAAGCTATTTATGACATAATTTCAGGCATTCAGTGTTTTAACTCCAAACCCACCAGCAGTGTTAGTGTCCCTTCATCAATAACCCATTTCCCTTCCTCTCCCATTCCTTCCTGTTCCCATTTTAAGAAGAGTCAAACATCAATTACAGACAGATTGCAAATTAGCCACAATTATTCTCCCTGATCCTTTGCATCATGATTCTGTCCCAACTCTCATTAGGAGGTGGAATTTATTCCTCATCCCCTTGATTCTGGTCTTGAGGATTGGTTTGGCCAACAGAATCAGGTGGAAATGATGGAGGGAAAGTTCTGTAATTCTAGATACTCCTCTCTCTCTCCCTCTCTATCTCTCTCTTCTTTTTCTCTCTCTCCTTTTTCTTCTTCCTTTCCCCCCTCTCTTTCTTCCAATTTTTCTCCCTCTCTCTTCTGTCTTTTCTCTCTCAACTTCTATTTTTCAGAAGACCCCAGTTCAGTTTGCTGAAAGAAAAGAGAAACCACTTCCCAAATACCCAGCCAGTCCTTAAGAGAGGCCTCCTAGTCAAGCCTCCACAAAACAGAGTCCAGAAGAACCTGCCAGCTGAGCATAACCTAGACCCCCAGCTCACAGACTTGGGAAGTAAATAACTCATGGTTTCGAGTCACTGTGTTTTGGAGTTGCTTGTTATGTAGTTCACATAGGTGGGATCATCACAATTTGATAGTACATTGTCGATGAATTCCTAAGCCTGAACTCTCCCAGAGGAGACTGTCCTACCCTCATCATCTTGGCTTCATGCTTACTTAAGTGTCATTTTTTCACCTACTAATGGAATAAGGCCCTTTCCCTTTTTTTTCTGGAAAAATAAGGGTTTTCTCACCAGTAGTCGGCAAAAGAAAAAAAAACAGTAGATCACGCATCAAAGTCCCAGACCAAGTTCGGTCTGTGCACCTTGCCTCTTACCTGTTGACAGAAACACCACAGTGACTGTGTGTAGAGGAACTTGGAGCTGGCTCCAGGGAGTTCTGGGTCTCCGTGCTTCTCTCTGAAACTAACAAAGTGATGTGATGATGATCATGGGCAGAGAAAGAATACTGGGCAGCTGGGAGTTTTGCACCACAACTTGCTGGTGGCATGACCTTGGCAAAATTACTTATCTGAGTCTATTTACTCAAGTGGAAAATGAAAAAGAAAATGACAGTACAGAGAGTTGGGGCAGTATTAGGGAGAAGATAAAGCTCAAGGACTAAGGGTATCTTTTCTGAGAGCAAACAACCAAAACTTCCATTACAAATAAGAGCTCAGGTTCAGTAGGAAAACAGATAACAGTGGAATATTTGGAGATTGTTCTAACAGCCATTCTTTGAACATACCTAATACAACAACAAACTATGTTGTACAAATTATTTTTCCTTTCACTCAACCTTAAAAAAATTAAGCAAAAATTTCTTTTGTATTACTTTTATCTGTCTTATCAGATTGGATAGTTAGGACTCAGTAAAAGAGTGTACACTGGATACAAATTACTGTGAATTATATATCATAATAATGTTTTTCTGAACATAGATGAACCCTAAATTCAGTTCCTTTTCTTGCAGGGCCAGATCACTTACATCACTTCCTGGAGTAGTGCAGTTTTTCAAGAGCTGCTCTACTCTGCAGTAGGGACATTTGGTCCATGTGGACAGAAGACTGGGTACCACTGTTCTGCTCAGGGAATGCTCAGGACACAGGACCCACCTCCATAGGGATGTCGGCACTTCTGGGTTCCTGCAAGTGGCCTCTCACAGCTTGCCTGATGCAGTCTGGCTCTGAGTACGTAACTTCTGTCCTGCTGCACAAAAGACTTTTCTTCCACAACTCTCCTCTCCACCTGAAAGTCAAGTGCATTGTCCATCTGCATCCCAAGGTCAAGATGAGGATACTGATGTAGACACAAATAATCTGGCTAGCAGTTGAAGTTGGTGAATCTGTCCACCACAGTGGGAGACTCACAACATATTTTCTGGAAATCAGAACCCAACATCCACAGTCACCCTAGAGGTATTCATATAACCTCCAACCTATGAACACCTGTGCTTTGCTTGGGCACACACTGAGTGAGCAGGGCCTTCCTACCAGGATGCAAGAGTCAGAGATCAGTCTTCTCTATTTCAGTCCTCTATCCACATCTGCCCTAGAGCAGATGTAGGTGTCCTCTCACTTCCTTTCTTGACCATTTTGCTCACAGTTCCCCCCATCAGACTAGTTCAGCCACTGTTTCTTGCTTATCTGTTCCCCCAAACTCATTGTGTTTTTTGTACCTCACTCAGTCCAGTGCCCCAATAATTATTGAATAAATGGCTCAAATATGACTGATGGGTCCCCGAGAGAAGCACTATAGGACACTCCAGCATCTGTCAGAGGAAAAGGACACCCTAAGGACTGATGGCTTCTAACAATCTGTCAGTCAAAAAGAGTGTTATTCCTGCCAAATCACATCACTCAACTAAAAGAAACAACATGATTGCATGCAGAAAAAGGATGGCAGGATAAGAGAAGCATTTCTGATTGATAGTTGTCCCCTCTAGCTATGCCCTCCCCTCCATCCACATAACCCTGTCATTTGTCCTGGCCTCAGTTCTCTAACCTGCCCCTGTGCATTGGAGCACATGTCAGGTCTCCAGCCTTACCTCCCTGGTTCCTCTACAGTACAAACCTCCGTACAGGGAGCCATGGGCACCTCATTGCCCTCAGCCACCCCATACAGGCCCTGGCATCAAGGAGATAATGCCAGGGCCTAGCTGGCATTTGACCATAATGCAATTACTGGTGTGTGTTGCAGTGGATATCAAGCTGACACTGCTTCTGGCTGAACGATTCCTGTACAACTTGCCCCCATTCAGCTCCCTTACATCACTGGCCCAATCCTGAGAGTACATGAATAACTTACCTAAGAATCCCGACTCTGGTTTTGCTCTGAGGAAACTGACCTAAGCATAGTGAGTACATGTGCCAGGCCTCTTGCCAGGTATTATGGAGCTGCACAGAGGGGCAAATGTAGGAGGAAGGCTCCCTGCAGGTGCAAGGCTCCCTGCAGGGGCCAGAGAGATTGTACAGCAGTAAGTAAGGTGCTTGCCTTGCATATAGTCAACCCAGGTTCTATCCCTGACATGCATATGGGCCCCCTGATCCCACTAGGAGTAATCCCTGAGCACAGAGCCAGGAGTAATACCTGAGCACCATCAAGTGTGGACAAAAATCCAATATGCATATAGATATAGATACATTTGAAGTAGAAGGAAAAATCCAGGACCCATGTAATCTAAGGCAATGAAGACTTTTTATAGAGTTGATTGGGGGTCTTGGGAGTGGGACTCCCAAGCAATGCTCAAGAGACACAGTGACATCATCAGCAATTCTAGGCCAATTGCCAGAAGTTCAGTGCAAGGGCCAGAGGATGCAATGCTGCTCTAGACCTATGGTAGCAGAGATCAGCCAGTCACCCAGCAGTGTTCGGGACCTTCAGGGCTACATGGTGGTTCTTGGGAACCACTGGGGCAATCCTTTGAAGTGCTCAGGACATCCTGGGCTGCATCTAGTGACACTTGGGAACGTGTGGTACCAGGAATTGAACCCAGGTCAGGAACATGCCAGGAATATGAATAAACTCCTTTACTATCTCTCCACCCCTGGAGCTGAGTTTTGTAAGTGCACTGATTTCCAAGTTATAAGCATGATTCTACTCATTGAAGCAACACTTTCAAAGGTCCCTGGGGTCTTAGCCACATTAGGAATTTGGGCTTACCCAAATGTCTTTGCCAATACTTCCCAAAAAAGGACTATGATAATGGGAATGTTCTAAATTTGCCCTGTCCAATATGGCGATCATCAGCTGCTAAGTACATAAAATGTGGTAAGTGTTCCTGAGGAACTGAGTTTTTATTATATCTTAATTAGCAGTCATTTCACTTAAATGCCAACAGTCACACAGAGTTCCTAGGTGGGAAAGCACTGACTGAGACCAACCTGAGAGATGGTATCCAAAACCACAGTGACCAGCTGTCTGACATGGAGACTGGCAGAGACTGGGTATCCAGCCACTTCCTGCTGATGAGCCCAACAGGCTTTCAGAACCGACTGCAATGGCAGCCGCCTTTGAGGTTGGTCTTCACACATGGTCAGCAGAAGAGAGTGCAAGTTCTCACAGAGCTGCAGAGGCTGAAAAGCAGGGGCTGCGTGAGAGATATGGAGCACACAAGAGCCCAGAATCTTGGCAGCCACAAGCAGGGACTAATAGTGGGAAGTTACAGTGAGGACACAGATGCTCTCATTATCATTAGACAGATGCTTGCTCCTTCTGGAAAGACGAGGGGTGGACGCAGATAGATCCCACGGCCACAATGTGCTGAGCCATTATCTCTGCGCCTGGCGTGGGTGCTTTCTCATCTGGAACATCCTCCCTTGCACAGAGAATGTGCTTGGAATACTTAGGGGAATGATGGATTTCCATTCACCCAGAACCCAGATAAAACCAGGCTCAGCCTTTAATCAAATTCTCTCGGGAAACCCATCATTTCCACAAATTAATGAGGTGGGTCTCATGGGGCCTTTCCCCTGGACTCTGTGCACCAGAGTCATAATGACTGTGGGTTTCCTCTCTCTTGGGACTCCCCCATGGTCAGCACAGGACCTCGATAGCTGGTTAAAATGCATGGCATGTGTATACAATGCGCAAAGGACAGAACCAGATATTTTAGTAAGCCCTTCCCTCCTGCATTTAAGTATATCTACTGTTTAAATGGAAAAGGCCTCCAACTTAGACTCAAAATCAGGCTTTTCTCCACATTCAAACACTACTACAAGTCATTCTCCAGACTCAGACTGCACTACCATTTCCTGTCATGAAGAGTTAGCTGTGCTCATCCGTCTGCATCTGCAGAGCCTGGCATTCTGCATATCAACGTGACTCTACACGCCTGGCCCTGGGAGCCGCGAAGATACAGAGTGGGAGTCAGTCCCTGCCTCAAGAAATTCACAGCAGCCTTGCATGCAGCCAACCTGGTTCAATTCCCTGCACCCCATAGGGCCCCCCCACCTGGTCCCACCAGGAATCATTCCTGAATGTAGAGCCAGGAGTAAGCCCTGCGCACTCCTGGGTGTAGCCCAAAAGCCAAAATATAAAAAGAAGAGAAGTTCACAGTCTGATTTCAAGGGTTGTTATTGCAGTGTGATGAGTCATGGGTCTCGGGATGAAAAAAGCATGTCAGTGACATGGGGGAAAGGGTCCTAAGAGAAGGAAGAACTGAGGGAAAATGCTGCACTAAGCCTCAAAATTTCTCTGGGGTCAACCAGAAGAAGAGTGAAGGAGTGGGCTACAGGCATAAAGAACAATTCTATGCAAAAGTTAGCAGATATTCACCCAAAAGGAGAGAGAGAGAACAGGGGGGAATGCCCTGTCACAGAGGCAGGGTGGGATGGAGGGCATGGGGGGTGGGAGGGACACTGGGATCCATGGTGGTGGGAAATGGGCACCGGTGGAGGGATGGGTATTTGATCATTGTATAATTGAAACCCAAGCACAAAATTTGTAAGTCTACAACTGTACCTCATGGTGTCTCACTAATAAAAATTCACTGTCATTGTCACTGTCCTCCCATTGTTCATCGATTTGCTCGAGCGGGCCCAGTAACGTCTCCATTGGAGACTTTGTTGTTACTGTGTTTGGCATATAGAATACATCACGGAGAGTTTGCCAGGCTCTGCCGTGCGGGCGAGATACTCTCGGTAGCTTGCTGGGCTCTCCGAGAGGGGCGGAGGAATCAAACTCGGGTCGGCCATGTTGGCTGTGTGCAAGGCAAACGCCCTACCGCTGTGCTATCGCTCCAGCCCCATGGTGCCTCACTGATAAAAATTTTTTAAAAAGAAAAAGAAAAATACATTGGATCAGACTGAAAGTCTTCTGAGGGTAAAAATAAAAGTTAGCAGCAATTTCTGAGAAGCAATTAGTTAGGGACAGGACTGGGGGGCGGGCAGGGGTCAGGGCACAATGATATCCATGGGAAGGGCTCCTGTTCAACATTATTATGATTTTGAAGATAGTGACCAAAAAAAAATCATATCAAGCACCTGAGTCCTATAAATGCAGGTTTCTGTATTACTGCCTGGCCCACATCCCCACAAAGCCATCACTAATTGCAGCAAGGTCTCAGAGGTTAAGATCCTGATTGTGGCTCCATATAACTTCTGGCAGAGAACTATGAAAGATTTTCCAGGGGGATAGACTCAAACGTATCTCTGTTTCAGAAAGAACACAGGGGTACACTGGAATGCTGGATTGGAGTAGGTGAGGGTGAAAAAAAGGAAGAGAGGCGTGGAAGAAGGGAGTAAGGGAGTTATTCAGCTGGTGCTGTGTTACACTGGTTTCTAAAGAATTCTTCCAGAACCTAATGAAAACTTACACAATACACACACATATTTTGTAATCAAAAAATGTTCTAAAATGCCACAATAAAAATGTTTCCATGCCTGAGTTGGAGAAGCAAAGGTGTTAGCCTTGCACATGGTCAACCTCAATTCAAAACCCCAGTACTGTATATGGTCTGCAGAACAATGCCAGGAATGATTCCTGAGCACAGAAGTGAAAGTAAGTTTGAATACTGACAGACATGGCACAAAAACTAATATTTAAAGATAAAAATTCTGTAGCTAGAGCAATAGTAAAGCTGGTAGGGTGTTTGTGTTGTATGTAGCTGACCTAAGTTGTCCCAAGCCTTTCAGGAGTGAACCCTGAGTGCAGAGCCCTGAGCACCTCTGGATGTGACCCTTCCCCCCCAAAAAATAGTATAATTCTAAGTCTTAAGTCTTCTCAGGGTCGTTAATAAATTATTCCCCATCCAAAAGGAAGGAAGGAAGGAAGGAAGGAAGGAAGGAAGGAAGGAAGGAAGGAAGGAAGGAAGGAAGGTAGGAAGGAAGGAAGGAAGGAAGGAAGGAGAGAAGAAAAGAAAAGAAAAGAAAAGAAAAGAAAAGAAAAGAAAAGAAAAGAAAAGAAAAGAAAAGAAATTATAGGGTTTAAAAGTGTCATACAAGACCCAGGCTCAAACCCAGAGCCTCACACAGAATAGGCACATGCTGTATTACTTCAGCTATCTCCCCAGGCCTTTAACAAGTTATTCTGGAAAAAAAAATCTTCAAGAGAAATATATTGTAGGGAGTATTTTCCAAAATCAATTGAGCATAGAACCCTTTTTTCAGGAAGCCTCTCACTTCAAAAAGGACTACTTTAAAGCCTGTTTTATAAGTATCTTTAGTATCTATAAAAGCCTCTAGCTTGCTACTTCTAAGCAACATGGGGGTGGGGGATATTCTTATCTTGCTTATCAACCCCAAACTGAGGCTGCCTGGAGTGCCAGTGTTGAGAGGAGTGCTGAAGTTATTTCTGGCGCCAGCAGGAGCAGTTCTGTAATCAGTTGGCAATGCCTTCCTAGAATCTAGGAGCACAGAATGGTGGCAATCAGCACAACGAAAGTGGTCCCTGCCTTGGAGGAAAGCACCGGATAAATCCAACGACATTTCCTGGTGAGACTGCATATTTTACTTACAGACCTGATTTGGTGGAACACGAAATTCTGCTGACCAGTAGAGGGTCATTCCTAAAGAATACACATGCCACTGCCCAAAAGGAAAAAGGACAGGATTAGGTTTCTGTTGCCTCTTTAGTCCCACAGTCATACAAAAAAAATATATATATATCATCTAATTTCAACCGAAAGTTGACTGGTGAGCCCAGGAAACACCAGCAGTTACTTGAAATGTTGCTGAGACTGAAAGCCACACTGATCATGACACTTCTTTTTAGTGACTGAACTAGAGAGATAGCTCAATAGACAGGGCAGAGCCAAAAACACAAGAGACACGGCTGTCTACCTCCCAGTACTTCTTCAGAAGGCTTGCAAGATTTCCGGTCTTAAAATAGTCCACGGGGAAAGAAAAGGGAAGAATTTGTCTTCTCTGTTTCCTCCCAACTTTTATTTACCACTAGTTATGTTCACCCCATTGAAAAATTCCCTGCATTTTCAATTTACATCAAAGGCTTCTACAGAGATCACTCAGAAAATCAGATCATGGCTCAGAATATAGCATCGTAACTAAGTCCTGAGAGTTGGGGGCAACTTGGACTTTGCAGCTGGACCATTGCCAAAAAACCCCAAAGGGAATCTGAGAGATTCTCAAGTTCGTGTACGACATAGGAATTCAGGATTTTACTCCAATACTCATGTAAGTAAAAAAAAAAAAGAGGGGGCAAATGGTCTGGAACATGAGGCCATGGCAGCAGGGAGGAGTCAGCATGACAGAGTCACTGCCCTGAGGACTCTGATGCTTCCACTGCTCTAACCCAACTTAAAGACGCATAGACAAGGCACACCAACCCTGGAAGCCAGCAAAGTCCTCACTAAGCCTGAAGGAAAAGCAGCCCCAGTTCCAGGCCACCTCCCACAAGGCTCAGAATTTCTAGTTCTGCACTTTTTTCATGAGAGGGCCAGGAAGTAGAAGTGGAAGTCATTTGTGCTGTGCCCAAAGTTGTGTGACCACTGGTGTAATTCTCCCTCAAGAATTTCTTCTCTTTAAATTGCAGATTATGTTTGCTAAAAGTTCATGCTATTTAGAATCAAAGCACATCCATAGGAAAACAAAAAGCACCACTGATTTTGTCATCCAGAAATAATCACTGCAGACACCTTGCTGTGTGTGTTTTTTAAACTTTTTCCTTCTCTCTTTGTCTGTGTGTGCGCTTGTACAGCTACAATCACAATAACATGCATCTATTTTATGTCAAGTCACTTAAATAAGAACCAACAGTCTCATTTTTTAATGTTGTCTTATTTCAGTGAACATTTAGTTTGCTTCCAATTTATCACAAATGTCAACAAGACAACAATAAGCATTGCTGCATGCAGCTGAATCAATCTTTGCTCAAACCTTAACATAATTTCTTAGTTGAGGATCAGTGGGTCCTTTATGATGTTTTTTGTTACATCCTGTCAATGGTACCAATGTGTCAGAACGCACATACTTTTCAAACACTTGTTTCTTAATGTCTCTTAATATTTATAATAAGCTAATGGATTTGGTAAAATTTATCCCAGTGTGGAACCCAGATATTCTACATGCTGCTTCCAGATGTAGAAATTGGGGCCAAAGTCACTTTTTTTTCCAAGAACTCATAGATGTCTGGTTGGAAAGACTTGGGAGAGAATTACTTAAGCTCATTTTTCCTCTGTGTTCCTTGGAGTTGTACTTAGGGTGGATAAATGACTCTAGTATTGATTTGGGTTCCCAGAACAAGGTTTTTCCCAGGAGACAGTCCCCAGGGGCTACAGAGACACCACCCCCTCTCCCCATGCTTTACCTGTGATGCATCAGGTTGTTCACCATCACTCTGTCCATGCAGCAGTTCAGGAGCCTTGAAAGGAGCCGCCTCAATGAAAGAAATACGGTTGTGGAAAGAAAGACTTCCAGTCCCAGAAAGTAAAGTTGACCAGGGGCAGACCACATAATCTGAAGCACCTGAAACCAAGAGGTATAGGGACAGTGAGTCCACATAAAGAACCAGCTGCAGGACTGTGACCAGCAGTAAGTTTCTGCTCTGGGATCGATCATGAGCAATACCAGGGAACTTATTGAGAATCAAACCAATCCTACTGCATGAGTGCACAGGAACTCATCTGAGAAAGGTGGCTGGAGGCAGGGACATCGCTCAACTATCTAGAGCACCACTGGGTATAGCCCTAGTAGCCCCCAGGTACCACTGAGTGAGGACTGGTCCCCCTCAGCTGTGTTGGACCTGAACAGCACCACATCCCCAGGACTGACAATTGAACCAGGCCAAACATCACAGCACTTCTTCAGTGCCCTCCCCTCTTGCCCCCGAAAAGAAAGGTGTCTATGGGTATGTCTAGAAAACTAGTACCTACATTCAAATTCATCAACAACCCCCTGAGTCTCAAGGTGAACGGGGGAGAGAAAACGAATCTACCTGGAAGTTGACACCAGCAATCATTCTCTGATGCCTAGATAGGGATCAAGCAGCTGTTCTTCTGGGCATAATGGAGCTGTTCATCTGAACCTCTAGGTCACCAAAGAGGAAGGGAGACTCAGGGATAAGCTGGTATGCATATGTGTGATCTAAGGTATTGTAAGCTCCCCTGCAGGCTGGCAACATCCTTGCACCTAGGTCTTCTGAGTTGGCATTGCAGCATAGGTTTTGGTTCTGGTTACTAATTCAGTATTTTGCTGCTTAATCTACTTACCCATACCTGCTCTTCTCGGCATCCTTCTCTCCACCAAGGGCACAGTGCACCTTCTTGATAGAAGACACGGGAGAGACATTGTAGAAGGCAGGCTATGCTGCTTCTGAGGGTCTCCAGGGTCAAGTGTGCAAGGGAGGGCATCCCATGATCCCTGTCCCAGCATGCGTCATACCACCACCACCACCACTTCTCATCCCAACCTGGACCTGTGATAACTTTCCCTGAACCTCCAAGCCTGCTCTGCACATGCCTCCCTGCCTCTGTGGCTCTCCTGTACCCTCCTCAACCCAGAGGGTCACCCCTCCCAGATTGGCAGTTACCTCTGTCCTCACTTGTCTGGGGATTACTATTGACTATCAAAATCCAGGCAAGGTGCCAACTCCATTGCCATCATGCCAACTCCTCCAACAGATTTGAACCCCAGCCTTGGAGAAAGAGAGCTTTCCTTCCAAGTCACAGGATACTCCCCTGACCCTAGGGGACCACATGGAGTTGTCTTATATGTCAGTTACTCATGTACCAGAGTTCAAGAATCCTTCTATACTAACCTTTCTGTTTAGACAACCCGGGGTGAGGTTCCCTCCTTCTTCTGGGATACCAGTCAATGCTATATGTCAAATATGTCAAGGATTGGAATGGCAGTGTCAGACCACCGTGACTGCCCCCTACCTCCTAACTCTGGTTATGTCCAGCCTGCCCAGAGGGTAGCAGAGGCCCAGAGAGCAGCAGCTGCCCTTTCCCAAGACCGAATCCCTAGAAGAACTGCAACACCAAAGCAGAAGTCAGGCCTTTTTTCCAACTCTGCCCCCTGCCACAGGCCTAAGAGTTGCACTTATCCTTCCAGTGAAGCTCCATAGGCAAGTGCCATTGCCTAACTGGTCCAACATCTAGAACTCTTGGCACATTCAGAAGTCACAGCCAGAAACATGTTCATTTGTGAAGTTTCACATTCAACTTTCCAGTCACTCTTTCTTACCATCACGGAGGTCTTCCAGGAGCCTCTCAGCAGCCAGTGACAAGAGAGACCAGATTTCTTCCTCTGACAGAGCTCCACCCCTCACCTGCAAGGCACTGGCCAGAGTCACAGGTGCCGGACTCATGCCTGCAAAGACACATGCGGAAAAATCCCTGCAATTCCTCAGAACATACCTACACCAGCTTGTGCCACATTGGTCCAGATGGTTTGGTCCCATCTTCAGCCAGACTGTACCACTTGTGTTCAGGGCTAGGTACAAGGTCAGGCACAAAGGGAAAACCTAAGGAAATAATTCAGGGAGTGTGGGGAGGGCTGTGGGTTCTTAGTGAATGGCTACAAAAAGAAATTCTGGACTGAGTGAATGAATAGATGAATAAACAAGTAATCCATGAGAATGGCCAGTGCTCCCAGTGGGTGTATGCTGTTACAGAGAGCTCCCTATGTCCATGCTGTGTCTGACGCCTCCTCTTCTCCTGTCTGCAAATGTGGTTAAAAACCTTTTCTGCCTCCAAAGTATGATTCATATCTTTTCGTCTCTGGCTGTCACATGCAGGGCTGGATGCAGTGCCAGCAACTGGCCCTGTCTCTAAGAATTGCCAACGCCTTTCTGAAGAGCCAAATTCACTTAAAGGAATGAGACCGGTGCTTTGAAACTGCAGATTAGGAGGAAAGCACAGGACTGCTTTGCCGAAGGAGGGGTAAGGGATGCTGTTCTTCTCTCTACTCTTAACCAAAGCTGACATTTAAATAACCCTAGCTCCCCTCTAATCTCCAGCACTGAAGGATACAGGTGCAGTGGCAGCAGAAATAGGCCAGCCAGGCTTTTCTTAATCCCTTCACGTGACTGATCTTTGCTACAGCCAGAGCTCACGAATAGTGTGCTGAGCTCCACTGGAAGGTTGGAGAGCACACTCACAGCCCCCATCCCTCCATGCAACATGCTAATCGCAAACTCTGCACTCAACAGCTGCTCAACTCCTTATTCCCGCCTCAAAGACCAACCTCCTCTGCCTCAAGAATAAGAGGAATAGCCTTGCTCTTCCATTTCTCCCCAGGAGGCCAGAAGGGTCCACAGCAGGACATGAAATGCTGCTTACCCCAGGACCTGCCTGTGAAGAATGGACTATTATTCCCATCTGCAGACAGGAAAGTAGACTAAGGCACACTGCCACACACTGTCCTCTCATTGTTCATCGATTTTGCTCAAGCGGGCCCAGTAACGTCTCCTTTGTGAGACTTCTTGTTACTGTGTTTGGCATATCGAATACCAAATATCACGGGTAGCTTGCCAGGCTTTGCCGTGCGGGCAAGATACTCTCGGTAGCTTGCTGGGCTCTCTGAGAGGAGTGGAGGAATCGAAGCTGGCTCAGCAGGGCTAAGCAAGCAGGTAAAATGATGGAAGCAAAGTTAGAGATAGAATAAGAGGTAGGAAACTTGCCCTGCACCCAGGTTTGATCCTCCACACCATATAAGGGAACCCAAATAACAAAAGTGGTGATCACTGAACACAGAGCCAGGAGTAAGCACTGAGCATCATTGGGTTGCTTCCCAAACAACCAAATACATAAAGGTAAAGGTAAAGGCCCTCCCGTTGATCATCGATTTGCTCGAGCAGGCCCAGTAACGTCTCCATTGGAGACTTTGTTGTTACTGTGTCTGGCATATCGAATACTCTCGGTAGCTTGCCGGGCTCTCCGAGAGGGGCGGAGGAATCGAACTCGGGTCAGCCATGTTGGCTGCGTGCAAGGCAAACGCCCTACCGCTGTGCTATCGCTCTAGCCCTAATTTTAGTATATGTGCTGCCTGGGGCTGGAGAGATAGCACAGCGGGTAGGGCATTTGCCTTGCACGCAGCCGACCCGGGTTCGATTCCCAGCATCCCATATGGTCCCCTGACCACCACCAAATACATAAAGCTGGATATTTAATTAAAGGGCCCTCTCTTCCTTTCTTGTTGATTTCTCCTTTTACAGTTTTGTTTTGTTTGGGGAGTACTGCTCAAGGATCACTCCAGGCACGGCTTGGATGGTCACACAGAGTGGGCATTGAATGTTGGTGGATTATGTGAAAGACAAGCACCCCTTCTCCTGTATTTTTTTTAAACATTCCCATTCTGCCACATATTCCTGTGTTGGAAAATAAGTGAAAGACTGCTTATTACAGAAAAAAACAGAGGAGAGAAATAGTTTCAAATAGACAATCTCTGAATCTCAGGACAAAGTCTCAAAAATACCAAATGTGGTTTAGTCTTTTTTCTGTTCACCTTATGACTAAGAAATAAGTGTATTAACAGTCTTTTAAGGTAGCCCTGGCTAGTTAATAACATCATTTTTAAATGGTAATTCAATGGAGAAAGTACCACTCTTTGAACAAACAGATCAAACATGAAAAAATGCACATCTTCTATAAAATTAATACAAAATAGATCAAAGATATATAGAGAGTACATGAAATTATGTTTTGGTTTAAAAAAATTACACAGGTGAAAATGTTCAGGATCTAGGTCTAGGCAAAGGATTCTTAAATTTAACATCAGCAGCACAGTACATAAAAGGGGAAATTGCTAAAATTGGACCTTATTGAGACTATAAGCTTTTGCTCTGAGAAAGAAAGAGAATGAAAAGAAAAGCTACAGGCTGAGAGAAAATATTTGAAAACCACATATCTGACAAAGTACATATTAATAGACTGACTATATAAAGAATTCTCGAAAGTCATCAACAGGAAAACAAATTAAAAAATGGGCAAGATCACACAGAGCATTTCATCAGAGAATATAAAAATGACACAGAAGTACAAGAAAAGCTCTTTAAGATCACTCACCATTATAGAAATGCAAATTAAAATCATGATGTCCCTACACACCTACCAGGATTACTAAAATAAAAAATTCGTGACACCACCAAATGCTGGTGAGGATGCAGAAAAACTGGAACACTCACACATTCCTGATGGGAATATGCAATGGTAAAGCTACCCTCTAGAGCACTTTGGTAGTTTCTTCTGAATTCCATATGCAATTACCATGTACCGAAGTCATGTGCTGTCCTCCCATTATTCATCAATTTGCTCGGGCGGGCCCAGTAATGTCTCCATTGTGAAACTTCTGTTACTGCGTTTGGCATATCAAATACGTCACGGGTAGCTTGCCAGGCTTTGCCATGCGGGCGAGATACTCTCGGTAGCTTGCTGGACTCTCCAAGAGGGATGGAGGAATCAAACCCGGCTCGGCTGGGCCAGCTGCACGCAAGGCAAATGCCCTACCACTGTGCTATCACTCCAGCCCATGCAATTACCATTCAACTAAAACATTGCACTCAGACTGCTATACCAAAAGAAAAGAGATTAATTTGGCACAAAATACAGATGTCTATATCAGTTTTAATAGTAAATAGAAACAGTCCAGATGTCCTTCAATGGATGAACAATTAAACAAGCTTTTGTGCCATAAAATACCATTAAGCCATTTAAAAGGATGAACTATTGACACATGCTACTTCGATGAACATCAAGAGAACTAGCCCTGTGAAAAATCCAATCTTTATCATTCCATTTACATAACATTCTTAAATACTGAAAAAGCAAGTTGGAAGTTGCCAGGGCTCAAGGTTATGAGGAAGAAATGTGTACGGATGGAATCTTTGTAGTGATGGAAATGTTTTATATCTTGAATGTGGCATTAGATGCACAAACCTAAACTTACAATAAAATTACATGAAACCAAACATGCATGCACAGATACACATTCCACAAATGAGAACAAATTCACTGCTATATTTTTTACAATTGGGTATTTTTAGGTAGCTAATATATAGCTAATTATGTGGGTAAGGTCATAAGAGTATGGGAAAAGACTAGAAGAAGCAAAGAAGGGCTCTAGTATTTAAACTGAATGTCAGTAGAGTGACACCATGGCCAAATTTAAGGTAAGAAGAAAATTCCACTCAGTTCTATGTCCCCCCTGCAAGGTTGCCCTTTGTTATAACTCAGGGAGACATATACAGATGATCCTTAAGTGACCACTAAGAGAACTCTAGCTCATTATATCATTATAAATGTTAATACATCAAAGGAATGTCCACCAACACCATGGCAGTTTATAGTTATCACCATGGCAACCTATGAAAGTGGTCAAATATGGTCAAGATTTCAGGACAACACCCCAAGAGTTGGGAAGAGAGTGGGCAGAAATAGGAAAGATAGTAGGTTGGAAAGCACAAAAGCAGTAAAACAAAGACACTTTTGTTGATCCCCTTGGACTCCTGTCCCTGCACTTACACACTTAGAGAAGTATCTTTGCTACTGTTTTTTTTTTTTCTTAAATAAACACTTTATTCCAGCCAGGTACTAGGTAAAGGTAAAGGCCCTCCCGTTGTTCGTCGATTTGCTCGAGCGGGCCCAGTAACGTCTCCATTGAAGACTTTGTTGTTACTGTGTCTGGCATATCGAATACGTCACGGGGAGCTTGCCAGGCTCTGCCATGCGGGCGAGATACTCTCGGTAGCTTGCCGGGCTCTCCGAGAGGGGCGGAGGAATCCAACTGGGTCGGCCATGTTGGCTGCGTGCAAGGCAAACGCCCTACCACTGTGCTATTGACAAATAAAAAGCTGTATGTAATGAGAATTATGAAATTGTAATGAAAATTAAGAAAATGTGGTGGGGACTGGGAAACTGAAACTGACCCCTTAAGTTAAACAAGAGAAGGGAGGGAGAAGTATTCCTTTTATGACCCCAATTAACCGAGTTAAGGGCCCACCAGTCCACTAGATTGATGGGAGCACACTGAGCCAGACAGATTTATGGGAGTACATAGGAGATGGTACCTGAAGGCCAAACCAAAAATGAGCAAGAGATAGTGACACTAACTGTTTTTCTTTGAACACCTGAAGGCCATACCATATGGAAAGGATGCATTGATTGTGGGTTTTTGGGTTTTTTTTTTTTTTGCCAATTACCTCTGTATCTCCTGTTTCACTGATAAGAATGTACTTCGATTGTAGCCCACCTCTAGAGGATAAAAGAGAGAACTTCTCAGCAAACGAGTCTCTTTCTCTTATGATTATGGGTCCTCAGGACTGTAGCAGTGCACTGCACTGTCCTCCCATTGTTCATTGATTTACTCAAGTG